GAATCGAACCCAGGGACTCGTGCATGCAAGCAAGACAAGCACTCTATCACTGAGCCACCTTCCCAGCCCCTATGTTTAATTTTCTTTTTTTTTTTTTGGTCGGTTGTAGGGCTTGAACTCTGGGCCTTGGCGCTGTCCCTCAGCTCTTCAGCTCAAGGCGAGTACTCTACCACTTGAGCTACAGCGCCACTTCCGGTTTTCTGGTGGTTTATTGGAGATAGGAGTCTCACGGTCTCTCCTGCCCGGGCTGGCTTTGAACCTCGATCCTCAGATCTCAGCCTCCTGAGTAGCTAGGATTACAGGCGTGAGCCACCAGCACCCAGCCCCTATGTTTAATTTTCTAAGGAATCTTCTATAGTGATTTCCATAGTGCTTTGAATAATTTACATTTCCACTAACTGTTTTAGGATGCATTTTGCTTTAATTTCTTAAGCTATTAATAAACTACCTGAATATTAGTAAAGCATAATTTATTTTTATTTTTTGCTGGTCCTGGCGCTTGAACTTGGGGCCTGAGCTCTGCTCTGTCCCTGAGCCTCTATATACTTGAGGCTAGTGCTCTACCACTTGAGACACAGCACCACTTCCAGCATTTTCTGTTTATGTGGTACTGAGGACTTGAACCCAGCCAGGGCTTCATGCATGCTAGAGAAGCACTCAACCACTAAGCCACATTCCCAGCCCAGGAAAGCATAATTTTGATTTCGATTACAGTAGTAGTTGGGTTTTTTTTTCTTCTCAGTATTGAGTCTTGAACTCAGGGCCTTCAAATCTTGCTTGGCTTTTTTTGCTCAAGGCTAGCACTCTTATCACTTGAACCACACCTCCACTTCTGCCTTTTTTGGGGATGTTTATTAGAGATAAAATTGATGGATTTTTCTGCCTTGCTGGCTTTGACTCTGGATTCTCAGATCTTAGCTTCCTGAGTAGCTAAGATTACAGATGTTAGCTTCTGGGTTCCACCTGAACTGGAATTTTGACAGAATTGTTCCATGCTATAATAATTTTACTTTAAAATGGGATGAAGTTGCTGAAAGTGGTAGTATATATCTGGAATGTCAGTACTTAGTAGGCTGAGAGATAGAAGTTCCACACTAGCCTGGGCTACATAGCAAGAATGACCATGCTACCAAAATAAATAACTAAATAAAAGGAAAGGATAGATGATAGGGACATTACACCTTTTATATCCTTGAATATTGATGTTGTTTATTGCCATATAAGTTTCAAAAGTCCTGGGGAAAAAAGACAAAACTCTGAATTAATATCTACTTGACTGGCTTGGTCATTCACTTTTTTCCCGGTACACAGTTTTCCGAACTTATTTATTTGCCAAAACTGAACTGAAGCTATCAGTCATCCTTTTTGTTCATGGTTAGTTCCATCACTTGAGTCATAATTCCATTTCCAAACAGTTTTGTGATTAATATTTGTTTATGCTTAAAGAATTTTTTTTACAGGCTGGGAAGGTGGCTCAATGGTAGAGTGCTTGCCTTGCATGCATGAGATCCTGGGTTCGATTCCTCAGCACCACCTAAGCAAAAAGAAAAAAGCCGGAAGTGGTGCTGTGGCTTAAGTGGTAGAGCACTAGTCTTGAGCTGAAGAGCTGAGGGACAGCGCCCAGGCCCAGAGTTCAGGCCCCACGACTGTTACCCCTCCCCCCCCCCAAAAAAAAAGAATTTTTTTTTACATGTGCTGGGATGGAACTCAGGATCTTTTTTTCTTTTTCTTTTTTGCCAGTCCTGGGGCTTGAACTCGGGGCCTAGGCATTGTTCTGAACTTCTTTTGCTCAAGGCTAGCACTCTACCACTTGAGCCACAGCACCACTTCCAGCTTTTTCTGTTTAAGTGGTCCTGAGGAATGGAACCCAGGGCTTCATGCATGCTAGGCAAGCACTCTACCACTAAGCCACATTCCAAGCCTGGAACTCAGGATCCTTTTTTTGAACTTTATTATTATTATTATATCTTTAAGTAGTTGTACAAAGAAGTTCACCCATTCTACAAAACAGTATATGAGTACAAGGTATCTGACAACATTGTCACCCATCCCTTCTCTCACTTTTTTTTTTAAATTGAGATTAGGTGATTACAGAAATTTCACATATTTCACAGTATTGTGGAATAGTGATACTTAGTTAAAGTCACAAACACATTTTAACCTTCACAGGGCAAATTGTCCTTATCATGGCTTATAAAGTTTGAATTCTTTTTTTGGGGGGGGATGTCTGGTCATGGGGCCTGTCCCTCAGCTCTTCACATCAAGGCTAGCGCTCTACCACTTGAGCCACAGCGCCACTTCATCCTTTTTTCTTTTTTGCTTATGTGGGTGCTGAGGAATCGAACTCAGGGCCTCATGCATGCAAGGCAAGCAATCTACCACTGAGCCACCTTCCCAGCCCAGTTTGTGAATTCTTTGAGTTTTTTGTCAGTCATGGGGCTTGAACTCTGGCTTGGGCGCTGTCCCTCAGCTCTTCAGCTCAAGGCGGGGACTTTACCACTTGAGCCACAGTGCCACTTCTGGTTTTCTGGTGGTTAATTGGAAATGAGTCTCACAGATGTTCCTACCTGGCTGGCTTTGAACCTTGATCCTCAGATCTCAGCCTCCTGAGTAGCTAGGATTACAGGCATGAGCCACCAGCACCCAGCTTTGGAACTCAGGATCTTAAACACACCTGCCAAACACTTTTCCACTAAGGACTCACAGTTCCAAGAAAAATTTCTGAACTAAAAATAAAATGATCACCAGGTGCTAGTAATACACACCTGTAATCCTGGCTAGGCAAAAGGCTAAGATATCAGAATTTCCATTCAAAGCCAGCTTAGGCAGGAAAGCCTCTGAGATTCTTATCTCCAGGTAACCACTGAAATGCCAGAAACTATGGATTAAGTGATATAGCTCTAACCTGAGCAGAAAAGTTAAAGGGAAGCACTCAGGTTCTGAGTTCAAGTCCCAGTACTGCCACAAAGAAACAAAAACTCCTTATAGTTGAAAGAAAGAAAAACTATCATAAAACTCAGTGACAGAGCAGTTTTCTAGGTACACAAAGCTCTGGATTTGACCTCCAGCACCATAAGAGTTTGAAGATAGACAGGGACTGAATAGCACTTTATTTCCATTACCCAGTTACCTAAATATGACTACAATAAGCATATTTTTTAGTGTTTTGCTGTTGTCTGGAATTCAGGAACCTCCTCCCTCCATCATACCTGACTTAGTATGTTTTAAATCTCTTTAATTATTACAGACTTCATATTTTATATTACTCAGCATTATACAATTTTTGAATCATGTCTTGATTGTTTTTTTTTTTACTACAAAATGAAGTTTCTATATTCTTCAACAGTGGTAATTTTCAGACTTGGTTCAAATACTCTAGGACCTAAGATTTAGAGCATCTGCGAGTTCTAACTATTTTCTTTCTTTTTTTGGGGGGGTCCATTTGTGGGGCCTGAACTCTGGGCCTGGGCGCTGTCCCTCAGCTCTTCAGCTCAAAGCTAGCATTCTACCACTTGAGCCACAGTGCCACTTCCAGCTTTTTTCTTATGTGGTGCTGAGGAATCGAACTCAGGGCCTCAGGCATGCAAGGCTAGTGCTCTACCACTGAGCCGCCTTCCCAGCCCTGAGTTCTAACTATTCATTAAGAAATCTGGCCAGAGGTCTGGGAAGGCGGCTCAGTGGTAGAGCGCTTGCCTTACATGCATGAGACCCTAGGTTCGATTCCTCAGCACTACATAAGCAAAAAGAAAAAAGCTGGAAGTGGTGCTGTGGCTCAAGTGGTAGAGTGCTAGCCTTGAGCTGAAGAGCTGAGGGACAGCACCCAGGCCCAGAGTTCAGGCCCCACAAACGGACCCCCCCCCAAAAAAAAAAAAAGAAAAGAAATCTGGCCAAGCCAGGTGCTGGTGGCACATGCTTGTAATTCTAGCTGCTCAGGAAGCTGAGATCTGAGGATCATGTTCAAAGCCAGACCAGGCAGGAAAGTCTGTGACACATTCTTATCTCCAATAAACCACTAGAAAATGGAAGTGGCACTGTGTCTCGAGTGGTAGAGCACTTGCTTTGAGCTGAAGAGGTGAGGGACAATGCCCAGGTCCAGAGTTCAAGCCCTATGACCGACAAAGAAAGAAAAGAAAATCTGGTTAGGCACTGGTGACTCACACTTGTAATCCTAGCTACTCAGGAGGCTGATATCTGAGGATCGTGGTTCAGAGCCAGCCTGGGCAAGAAAAGAAAGTCTGTGAGCTCTTTATCTCCAATTAACTACCAGAAAACTGGAAGTGGCACTGTGGCTCAAGTGGTAGAGTGCTAGCCTTGAGCTGAAGAGCTGAAGGACAGCGCCCAGGTCCAGAGTTCAAGCCTCATTGCCCCATGACCAACCAAAAAAAAAAGGAAAGAAAGAAATTTGTGACCCACTACTCAAGTCTCATTCACTTGGGGAGGTTGAGACAGGAAGAATGTGCCCAAAACAAACATGGGTAACAGCTGCAAGACCCCGTCTTCAAACAATCAAAGGGAAGGAAATCTAAGACATCATTTGTGTCTTTCATTCTTTCTTGAGTGTGTAATACACTTTTTCAACATGTATATGACATAATAGAGCAGCAGATTGAGTACAGAGGCAGATGAGAAAGTCTACCTGCCTTTAAAAAAGTCAGGTATAAAGCATATTTGTACATAATGTAACTCAAAGATTCTTCGTTACTGAACATTTTAAGAAGGTAAGGTAACTTGAGACCAAACAGTTAGAAACTGATGCTGTGTGTTAATATAAAACTAGTATTTAAAAATCTTTGTATTGAAGAAAAATATTTGGTTATTTGATCTTATTTTTGCAAGAAGCTACTGATAAAGTGTGCAGTTCATAGATTCTAGCAAATACACATTTTAATGCTTTGGATTGTGACATTGGATCTAATGACCAGTATCTTGCTCTTGAACTAAGTAAGGTACTCGATTTTTAAAATGGTAACTTCAGTTTGTTATTTTTCTTCCTTTCTCAGGCAGCTGAGTATGTACCAGAGAAGGTGAAGAAAGCCGAAAAGAAATTAGAAGAGAATCCATATGACCTTGATGCTTGGAGCATTCTCATTCGAGAGGCACAGGTTTAGTGATATAGGATTACATTTCCTTCTCTATGGGTCCAATCACACTACTTGATTCTGCAGTAAATAATACTTTCATAGTCCTAACATTGTAAATGCTGTTTATTGGTTTTCAATTTTAGAATCAACCTATAGACAAAGCACGGAAGACTTATGAACGCCTTGTTGCCCAGTTCCCCAGTTCTGGCAGATTCTGGAAACTGTACATTGAAGCAGAGGTTAATATTTTATTTTATTTTATTTTTTCTTATATAGCATCTGATGGGAATTGCAACATACATTATAGTGATAGAAAACAAGTTAGTAGCATAGTACAATCAGGACAAGGAGGATTTAAATGTTTCTTGCCTTTATTGTAAAATAGGTATGAAGGAGTAATTAAAGTGAATTTTTAAAATTTGGGTCTTTTACAAGCTGATGATTGTTGCATTTTGGAGTTGCAACAACATTAAAACAGTTTTAATGGTATTGGAGTGCTTTAGCCTTTTATTTACTTGTCATGTGTCAATTTATTGCCTCCTGTGTCATTTATTTAGAACTCATTTTCTTATTTATGAACTAATATTGATGGGATTATATGAAAATATAGAAATGTTAACTTAGTATTATAAAGTATTTTGAATGTTTGGTGAAATGGAACATTTAAGAGAATAATTCAAATTTTAACGATGAAAATGTGTGTTTTATCAGTGTAAGTACTTTAATAATTTAGAGAAATGTTTTTTTTCTCTAACATAAAAGTTTACATTATTCAGGTATAAGCTAATGTGACTCCAAATTTTCAATTATAATTTATACCGTAAAACCTTTGTTTTTATTTTCTTTTATCTGTCTTGAAATTTGAAGTCAGGCATGTTTATTTTAAAAAGTTAAGGGCCCCATTCTTAGGATTAGAAGAAAAACATTATTTTTAAAGATTGGAATTAGCAGTCAATAATAAAGTGTTTGTGTTATAATTGGCACCATCTAATCATTCTCTGGCTATTTAAATTATGGGATATTGGGCAAGATGGAAGTAATTGATACCCACATTAAACTAAAAATGTAACTTTCCTTTTACTTCTTTTTCTTAATACAGTATTTTTAATATTTTGCAATATAAATTCTTAACATAATTAAGTACACTGCAGCCTCAATGCAACATTGTCCACTATAGTGGAAACTTGACATGTGTGAGTCTGTTTTGGACCTCTTCATAGGGCTTTAGCCATTAACAGTACTAAACAGACTTTGTAACACAATGTCACCAGTGATGTGTCTTCAGCATGGACCCAATTAACAGTATATATAAATAGAGGCTACAGTGTACTCATGAATTCGTGCTGTAGTTAGCTTTTTTACTTTGTGGGGAGGGAAGTTACTGACAGTAGCAGGAACATTGTGTGTCCTTTATTTTTGTATGTGTGGTTGTGTTTGTGGTTTGTGTGTGTTGAGTGTATGTGAGTGAGATTTTATATGGAGTCTGGTAGTTTGGCTTGTGACCATATCCTTAAGGTTTCATCACTTATCCTCTGGAACCTTTTCTTTCCTTTATATATTTAAATCACCAGAGTAGATGGGCATGACACACATCAAATAAGGCCACCTGAAGCATACTGAAGCCAGTGCTGCTTCATATTATTCATTAAAATAAGAAACCTGAATCACCTGCACCTGGTCTACATTCTGACTTTACAAACACATTAGCTTTTTAATTGAAACATAATTGAAATAGAATTGTTTTTAGATAATGAAGTAGTGCTTTCTGAGTTTTTGATTTCTTTGTTTTCTTCTTCAACATTCAGATATTGTCAGTGCATTTTATTATAGCATAAATATTAAACTGAATTGGCATTTTATGAACACAATGGGTTTGCTTCCTCCATTTTCTTACTACAAGATGAAAATTTCATTCTAAATATTGAATCCTTAGCGCCCCCTCCTCCAAAAGAAACATTATTTCAAGAGACCAAAGTTGTCTAATAGGCTTGTTTCATATAAAATAGAACTACTAGCAATTGCTTGGTTTAGTTGGTAACATTTGCACTTATTTTACAATCATGCACGCACAAAATAACATGTATGTATAAAACACACAAATATATATATATATACACTATATATACGTGTTCAGATAATCTGAGAAGAAATGGTAATGTGTATGTTTAAATTTTTATATTTCTTGTGTAGAATCTTAAGATGTTAGATTGAATACTGGTTTCACAAATGCGTCCCTAAGCTATCTCCTCTTCTCTCTGCTGGTTTGCTCTTCATTTTCATGTTTTACTTTTTGTCAGCCTGTGAATGGCTAAAATTTTCTTTGCTCATGTCACTCAAAAGTGACCATTATTTTTGGTGAGGACATTTAACCTATTTACAATACTTTTAAAATATCTGAATTGATACTAAGAATGTCTTTACATTAAGAGTGATACTAACAGTGTTTATATAATACCTTGTATTCACTTTCAAGTAAATAAAGTTCTGTTAATACATTATTGTAACTCACTCAGTACATTATGATGGGGAAATTGTGATGTTTTGTCCATTTATATTCAGCTAAGTTAATGTGTATAACTCTTAAAATACACGTTTATTCTAATACAAAATATCTTTTCAATAAGAACAAGTAATATGCTTTCCTAGGGAAATGCTTTGCAACTCTGCTTAAATACAAGTGGAAAAAGACAAAAATAATTTTTAATATTACTTTTCAATTTGAAATATCACTTGAAAATGAATTTACTATAATTTTAGAAAAGAAATGATACAACATATCTTATCAGCTTCTCTACAACTGAAAGCAATGTAATTACCTATGAAAAATACACATTTTAAAATATCAGGCACTCATTAATTTTTTTCCCCTGCAGTATAGGAATTGCTGGGAAACTAGTGAATAGGTACATAGGATCCATTGATCTAATTTTGAGAATTAGACTAACTTATTTTAGTGTATAATATTAAGAAGCCATATTTTTCTCAATTCTTTGAAATTAATACTTTCCCTTTTGCATCCCCAAACCACTGCTTCACATGATTTAATAGTATCATAAGAGCAAGAACTCATAAAGAGAGAGTTATCAAGGATTGAATCTAAACTTGATCACAGTGATATGAAAGTATCTTTGTTGCATCCTGCTTTTATGGGAACATTTTAAATACGTTTCTAGTTATTGTGTACAACTGCCTTAGCTACAGTTTTAAGTATTTTCTAGATTAAGAAATGTAAGTTATTAAACATTATGGAGATAGTTCACCCTCAGTTATTCTTGGTTCTTACAGAACCACTTTTTATAGTGCTCTAAAGGGTCACTTAGTTACCACAAAATTAAGATGTTGTACAGTTTTGTTATATTCCCTTGGATCTTGTTCCCTGTAGTTTCTGTAGCTTTTCATATAATTAATGTGACATGTAAGCTACAATATTTCCTTGTTAGGAGTGATTTGTTTTGAATTAAGTCAAGTCCATAAACAATTTCCAAATGAATTATGATTTTTATTGGTAGCTGAAGGAGAAATGAAGAAGGTAATGCTCCTGTTTTAATAGCAACAATGTATCCCATCTTTGAAAGCTGTATTTCTTTAATAAAAGTATGTAGAGAATTGATTGCTTTTTATTTTTTTTAAATTTTAATGTGAATTCTTTTCTCTATACTTGTTTTTTCTTTCCTTGTAAATAATAGGTTGTGGAGTATAAATTTCACTTTTTCCCAAATAACCTTTCTTCTTGGAAAATGAAAATGAACTCAGGATGAAACATGAGTGGCCTAAATTGAAATAAACTTTTCTACTCTTGATACTGTTTTAATTCCTTTAATAATAGTTTAAATTGCTGTATTTTGATGTTTTGTATATATGTGATTTTAAAATGTAGACTAAATGATGACAGGATATGATAATTTCTATACTTCAGCTTGTAGCTCTCTCCCCTTTTTAAGAAAAAAAATCTGTACTCTTATAGATCTACACTTCTTCTGTTTGTAATAAATGTGGTCCATGTCTGTGTGATTATTCAGATTTTACTCTATGCTTTATTACAGTTTCTTAACATAAAACATTCTTAGTATAGAGCAGAAATGTAAAACAAATGGAAATACTTGAGCACAGCTTATGAGCTAGCTGTCAGAAGGTGTTTTGACAAATCATAGTACTATTAATAATTATTTTCAGTTCACTATTTTTTTTTTTTTTTTTTTGTCGGTCGTGGGGCTTGAACTCCGGGCCTGGGCGCTGTCCCTCAGCTCTTCAGCTCAAGGCTAGCGCTCTACCACTTGAGCCACAGCGCCACTTCTGGCTTTTTTCTTTTTGCTTATGTGGTGCTGAGGAATCGAACCCAGGGCCTCAGGCATGCAAGGCAATCGCTCAACCACTGAGCCACCTTCCCAGCCCTAAAGCACATATATTCTAAAATTAGTTGTGAACAGAAAAATACTGTATTGTGCAGTTTGATAGTAGTAGTGGTTTCTTTTGTTGTTGTTTGGTTTTTTTGTGGGGGTGGGGTTGGGGTTTTCTTTTGGTCATGGGGCTTGAATTCTGGGCCTGGGTAATGTCCCTTAGCTCTTCAGCTATAGGCTAGTGCTCTACCACTTGAGCCACAGCAGTTTTCTGGAGGTTTATTCCAGATAAGAGACACACAGACTTTTCCTGCCCAGGCTAGATTTGAACTATTATCCTCAGATCTCAGCCTCCTAGGTAGCTAGGATTACAGGCGTAAGCCACTGACACCTGGTGGTGGTATTTTACATTTTTGGACATGTATGAAATTATACTTAATTATTTTCATTCATAGATTAATAGACACTTAAAACCTTCATAATTACAGAGCTAGATACTTTAATTCGTTGAAATAGAGTGAATTGACAGTACACTAATGCCTTAAGTGAGTGTACTGCATTGAGATAAGGAGAAACAGGTGGCAAGTAATTTTCTCTTTTAAGACCTTTCTAATAGGTTAATTGTTATTTTTTTTCAAGATAGTGATTCCTTTTTTTCTTAATTTCCCCCGTTTTCAAATGTGATAAGTATGGGATGACAGGATTTCTTCCTGTAGTCCCAGGCTAGTCTCAAACATGTGACCCTCCTGACAGCCTCTCAAATGCTGGGTTTACAGGCATTTGAAAGACACTGGGTACCACCATACCCAGTATTTGTTAAAGATACTTTGAGAAGAAATGATCTCTAAAACTTCACCATTGCTGTCTGAAGGGGCATACTTTTTTTTTCTTCCCCCCGCCCC